CCCATTTTAGTTCTTGCATAATTTCCAATCCTTCTTCAACCGATCCCATTTGTTCTTTAATTGTAGCATATCGTATTCTCTTCTTATCATTTCCTTGAACTTCTTCATAATATTTTTCCACCCTTCTTTTTAAAATAGGTGGTGGGTCTTTTTTCCAACTCAACCCTCTTAAGACACATTTCGTAAAATATGATTGTGACTTATTTATCCCACATGACTGATGAACCGAGTTCTTTAGTCTTAACCATTGCGTAACTAATAAAGAAAAGACAAAACAATAATATTTTATATAAACAAGAGAGCAGACAACAACCACCACCCCAGTGCAACCACAACACAATCCCCAGCACAGTCACCACCCAACACCTAGCATAGCCACGACCCAACCCCCAACACAGCCACCACCCAGCCCCTAGCACAGTCACCATCCAATCCCCAGCACAACCACCACCCAACCCACAGCACAGCCATCACCCAACGCCTACTACAGCCACTACCCAAAACCCATTAAAACCACCCCCAACCCCCAACACAGCCACCACAAAACACCCACTACAACCACCACCCAACACCCTCCAACCACCATGGCCACCACCCAACACCCAAGACACCCTTAAGCGATTAGAAATACTGAAAAAGAGCATATCAAATTATGTATGTAAATGACCATTAGATTAATTATCTTCCCTTTTTTTTCATTTATGGACTATGCCTCTCCAAAAAAGATTGTACCTCTTCTACTCTTGACAAAAAAAAAAAGGCAGCATTCTTTTTTTTTACATATTTTTCATCACAATATTGTAGACACTTCTCAATTTTCTCAAAATTCTAACTCTTCCTCATTTTCTTAAGGTTTTTTTTTTTACGCAAAACATCATAATGCCTAAACATGTAATGACCTTGGAAAGAAGATGCCCCTCTAGTGCCACCTCTTCTCATGAATCAAAATCCCATGACACTACTATCAAAGAAACTTTATACAAGTTGCTCATTATCCAATTCAAACCAAAACTTTCTACAGTATAAATCATCATTGATATAATTGCTCAAAAAAATATTTTTTTTGAATGCATTGAAAGTTCAAAACTGTACAACCTTGTATCATGGATAGTGAAATATATGATCATATGATAGGGGATGCCTCCTTAGTTCAACTTTATCATGTTTAAGGAATTATGCATATCTCAAGTAAGTGAAATTAGGGCCATCAAGGACACTAGCACTAGTTTTAACTCATTTTTCATGGCTCCCAAGCTTTATTGGAATCTATAATCAATTGATAAAAATATCACGAATATGAGCTATACTGCTACTCTTCTTACACATTTCAGTGGCATATTTTTGAAAACACCCAACTCATTTTGAGGCCAAATTTGTTCATTGAAAGAACAAGGCCCCCAACAAAACCCCCAACACAGCCAACAAGAACAATAAGAAGCTTTTATCCAAAAATAAGATCTTATCGCAACTTATCAATTTGGAGCAACAACAAAGTATGTGCAGGTAAAGCCATAAGAAATATATAAAAGAGAATAAGCACAGAATAATAAGACGCTTTTATCCTACGAAACCCCAAACATAGCCATAACAACCCACAACCTAAGGCCATGCCACATTTTTTTTCCAATATCAAAATTGAAAATAAAAAAAAAAATCACAAATGAGAAATTAGGAAGCCACAAATCTCAGATATCACAAACTTCTCACAGCAAAATGTAAATAAGAAAGCAAAAAATCGTATAAAGAAAGTCATTTATCGAAAATCACCAGAAGAATTACTTACAGAGCGCCACAACCAGAGATCGAAGGGAGAAATTAAAGAGGAGAAAGGCAATGCTCGAGTGAGACGAGTGAGAGGGATAGAAGTGCAAGAGTCGTCGAAAGAGGCACGGGATGGGGGCAAATGAAGCATGAGAGATCGAAAGGGCAGCCACGTAGAAAATAAGAAAAGAACGCGGACCACAGGGTCGAAACTGCGACTGCATTTATTAAATATTTTTAACGAATTATCTGGATAAGATGTCACGCCGCCGAAACCAAACAGTGTAGCTTGCGTTTTGAAAATGCCCCCACGACGAACAAGTTGCCCCCAACGGAGGATTTTTGGACCTCCCCGATATTATTGGAGATGTTGAGGGATTGCATCTTCCCCAGAGTTAGTTTTTTTGGAGTGATTGTTTCGAATACTTCTTTGTCTCGTTTTTTACCAAATAGTACTGGCACAAATTTTTTAGTCGACTCATTCTTATTCTCGTGATTCGGTTGGTTTTGGTCTTGCTGGCTTTAGCTCAGGCGGCTACCATCGGTCGGATAAGTGGGCTTGACATTCTTTTGTCATTGAACCCTCCCTCATCGTACTCTCTTTCTCTACTTTGTTAGATCCCCTCACGATTAACACTGTCAAAATTTCATGTATATATATATATATAAGAATCAAGTGTTATGCACGTAAGTCTTCCTAAAATCAAATATGCACATCTCATTTTGATATGTGTATATATATATGAATTAAGTGGTATGCATGTAAATCTAACTAATATTTAATATGCATATTTGATTTATTTTAAAATGATAAAAGTATATTGGTTTTGGTTTTAAAAAAGAAATTAATATATCACATAAATTTGCAACTTTAAACTTGCACCGTTAAATTTTTTATTTGTAATATTTAGATAAATAATTATTAAATTTCCTTAAAAAAACGTAATCGTCTTTTGTACTATAGGCCATAATCATTTAGATTTTTTTTATAACTAAACTTCAAAATCAAAAAGAAAAAAGAGCTTCAGCTTTTACAATAAGAGGACTTTCACTCTCTCTAGATGTCAGACACGAGCGAGGTTAGGGCTTAGCTCTTGTTCGGCTCATTAGAAATCTCGTTGTTTATGTTCGGCTTGTTTATATTTTGAACAAAAAAAATTTGTGTTAATACCCCTAACTAGTCACGTAGCCATAAGAGTGAAGGGTAGATGCGAGATTTAAATCTTTTTATTTCTATTAAAAAATTATTTAAAAATAATATTCAATAGTAATATATATATATATATATATATATATA